TGTTTTGTTTTTGAATATGTAAATGCATTTTTCAAATATATAAACTGATATAAGTGTCAAGATGTGATCATTTTTGAAAACTTGTCTGCAAGATTCTCTTGAGACATTTGCAATATACACCGTGTAATGCGTTTTTGAGCAATGAATACATTATGAGTCATGGATAATCCATCCCAGAAGCAGACATCATACTTCAGTCTTGAATCAACTTGAGCATAATAAATGCTCATTAGTTGAGTGGTAGTTAAAACTGTTCGCAGATTCATAAATAGAAATTTTTCTTTATGATATAGCTTAAAATTTTATATAAATAACGTATTTCACAATATGTTCATATAATCGTAACATTTTAGAGATTATATGATTCAAAAACGCTTAGGATGAAGTAAAATTAGAACGCCAAATGTGTCTCTCACTTGAGATACAAGTGAAAGATGGGTGCAGCAAATGGAGCTGACCATGAACAGGTATAAAAAGTTAGCATAGGATATGCAGCCCACAAAAAAGTTTTTATCGAAGACCAAGAGCGGCAATTATCGAAGTAACTTTGCGCAGGCATCTGTATCGGTAGAGAAGGGAGGGTGAGTGTAGGCCCACAGAACTAAGGCCACATGTGATCCATTGTACATTCTCCCGAGGAGTTGTCCTACTAGGTCATCGTTCATCCTGTTCTTTCCAGGAAGGCGGACAGGTCACTCGGAAACATCTCCTTTATATCGGCAGGTGAAGGCCAAGACTCGCCGAACACACATTCTCTTTGGCAAACCTTGAGGTGTCTCACGGCGGCCTCCACGAAGGTTTTGGAAGGTGCAGCGACAACACTGTCGTTGCGCGGCTGCTTCAAACTTCTTGGGGTTCCCTCCGTGAAGGTGTTCAAGTGAGGGCGCTTTCCTGCAGGGGCAGGCGGTGCTATTGGCGCCCGCCACAGGAAATGCCTTTGCTGTTGGAGGGAGAGTGGGCGAGGAGGAGGGTGCACTTGTAGTTGCTGCCACGCCTGTCTCTTTCGCTCTCTGCCTCCTTTTGGCTTCAGCGCCGCAAATGCGCTTACGCCTTGGCCTTATGGTCTTTGTATTACATCACGAGGTGATCTGCTATGTTCAGCCTCATTCTGAGTGGTAGACTGGGGCGATCATTTCTGTTCATCCCCAGCTACCGTCATAGATTAAGGTGAGCACTTCTGTCCAGCTCCGGGATTGGTTTTTGTTGTGTCTGTTTTTGTTTCATTCATGTATGTTGCCACGAGTAGCAGGAGAATTGTTGGTCACCTCTGGCAGAGCCCCGCATTGCCAAAAGAAGGCTAGCTTATTCCAATGAGGTTTCGCCCGGTTCCCCAAGGGGATTGTTCGTAACCGCATATCACCCTGCGGCCATTCAGCTGTCGGCACGTTTCTTTACACCTTAGCTTGGGTTGCTGGTCCACAATGGCATGTTTTGCAAAGGCTTTTGGGGAGTTTTAGTTCCCCTCACCCTACTTATTTCCGCCACTGACCAGGAGTCCGGCGATCTTGTCCGTAAGGCCACATTGACTTCCCGGACAGTGCCCCCAGTCCCCTGGCCGTTCCCCTATCCGCCACCTGGGTACGCGCACGATAGGTAGCCCAACCCACGGGTGCGCGGACATATATTTTGGTCTCTTCACAGAAGAGGTAACCAAGTTGATCTTCGAACTTACCATGAAATACAATTTGAACGCTCTGTCTTCTTGGCTAGAAAATTGAATGGCTGAAAAGAAGTTGTTTGGTTCATTCATGAAGAGAAATCTTGGACTATCAGTAACCGTTACTCAAGCTTCAAGCCTGTTTCGAGCGATAAGTTTCAACCGAAATAATGTCGACGCGTTTTATGATAATCTTCAGGTCGTTATGGATCGCCACCATTTGGAAACTCAGGACATATAGGTACTAAATGGATGAAACCGACGTTACCACCTGTTGCAAGACGTGGCACAAAACCCAGACCCAGACATGCACTTCTAAAAGCTGAAAAGGAATCGCAAGCTGTTACACTGGATCTGGATCCAAATCTCTTCTCGTACTGTTGTTTTTCGTCAACAATCAGAACCTGTTCCGTCTACAAGCGATCAGCCTGTGTTCTCGCCTGAAATATTACGGCCCAACCTTACCTCCGCAGATTCTCCTCCAAAGGAAGTTATTAGAAAAGAGTATGAAGAGCGACAAAAACCGTTGAAGAATAAACAAACGATGGGAAAAGTACTTGAATCATCTTTGGAAAGACAAACAATGGTAAAGCAAATAAAAATAGGACTCGGAAACCAGCAGAAACATCATCAGAAGAAGAAGAATATGATTGCATCTTCTGCTTAGAGACGTATTCAGTGAGTCGGTGTGGAGAGAGTTGAATTCAGTGCCAAGGGAGCTACAAACAATGGCACCACGTAGTCTGTACTGATGGGAGTGAATATTATACTTGACATGACTGTCATGAGTGATTGAATATAGTAAGAAATATTTTGTTTTAATTAAAATGTTGTTAACTAGTTGTGTTTAATTATTATCGAGAGATTATTTTTATTCGAAAAATCTGATTATGAAAGTCTCATTGTAAGTGTAAAACACCATATAGAAGAAATATTATATCTGTTTATTTTAGTTGAATTCTAATAAATATTCAAAGGGGCTACTTAAATGTGCCTCAAATATTGTTAATTTGAGTTCACTTCAGTATTATTATGATTCATGATTGATGTTTTATTTTTCAGTGTTACAACTGCCCCCATCGGTGTTACAACCGCCCCTGGTATGGGGTCGGTTGTAACGATCGCAAACTTTCATTGAAATGGCGTATTTCTGTCAAAGTTTTTTACCTGAGCGACTGATTTTGATATTAATTAAAGGAAATTTGTTATATTCATACCCAGTCTACCCTACAAGTGTTATGAATTTTAATTTTAGCGGTAATTATTGGCTGATAATAGTACTAAAGAAAGAAAATATTCATCAGTAGATATCTTTGAGTTCCTGACATTAACGAACTAACAAGAAAAAATGGAAGTACATGAAAAGAAAAGAAAAACTGGAGAAACAAGAATCAAGAATGAAGAAGAGAGAAATATGATGCTGAAACAATTAAAGAATCAAGAACAGGAATAACAAGAAAAGGTGTGACCAATACAACAAATGCCATGCAAAATGACTTCAAGATGAAGTTGAAGAAGTTTGAGGTAAAGTGAAAGCAGCCTGGGATGAAGAGGGTATATTGTGGAATGGTAAAAGGAACCGATAATGAGTTGCGAAAAATCAATGACGGAGTTATGAATGTAAAAACCTCACACCGAATGTTACAATAACCGTCCCGTCACGGTCCATAACACAATAGCAAAATGACACCTTGAAACCGCTATCTATTGAATGAGACTCATAGTGGGACATGTACTAACTACTTTACTAATTTCATCCCGTAGACCTCAAGCGCTGGGAAATTCAACGAAATATGTCAGAAAACAAGGGTCCAAACGAATATTCGCGGATTGTTGTAGCTCTTCACACACAATATGACAGCAATACTAGTATGAATAAAGGAAACGTTTAAATACCAATGAATTTGACTTGTGCTCAAGCTACAAAATAATTCGTGAAATAAATTGGAGAACGAACCTTCATCAAAGGTGTAAACACTGTATACTCACAGATGCCCAATATATTAGTAAGGCAACAACTATTTTCAAAAGGAACCACAACGAAATTGACAGAACTGACTTTCTCAAGAATTGACACCTGGAGAAAAAGTTAACAAGCCCGCGTAAACTGTTTCGTTGAGCTAATCATATATGCCAATGAAATATTTCCCAAAGAAAAGCAACTTAGAAAAACGGAGGCATCTGCAAATCACTTGTTTGAAGTGAGACATCGAACAAAGGCACACAGGAGCCATAATATGAGTGTGGAGGAATACCAGACAGATGGTTTTCAAGAACAAATGACCAAGTTTCAAGTTCAAGAGGAATTTCGAGGAACTTAACCGGAAGGGAGAAGTTGCACTGAAGAACTGAGTTCAATTAGATAACGGTGTAATAACTGCCATTGCGATGGTTAACGCAAAATATTATTTCATTTATAGAGATCGAGGTCGATCACCCGTTTCTTCGGTGTCGATATTTTTCCAGTTGAAAAAGCGCTGAACTACTTTATGACTGTCGGACCTTTGCGCGTCGTTGTGGTCCTGTACAAGACTAGACTAAACAAATGTATATACTACATCCTGCCGATGGTCATACGCTTGGGACAGTTAAAAAACGCTGGTTAGCGTTGCTGACGCGAGGGCTTGGGAGTTTTTGCGGAAGACACAAGAAGTCAGTCACCGGATCCCGTCGAGACGAGATCGGGGATCTCATCCTTCAGCCTTCGAGGCTGAGGGAGGTGGTCTAAATGAAAGAAGTCATTTTTATACATTTTTGTCCATGAAGCAACTTGATGTTCATTTATACCATTATTGGAATGTCATAAATAAATTTACTGACCGCCATTTAAGTCCAGTTTCCATCTATGATTAAAGTGTTTGAATTTTTTCACTGAGAAGATTCATATATTCATTCGAAAAATGAATTAGACTTTCATCAGCCACTTTTCTACATTACCATTTCAAGTACAGCTTCATGGAAATCCAAAAGGAAAATAATGTTAGTATTTTCATTGTTTTCACCAACGTGTAAAATGAAATAAATCGACAGATATTACATTATTATATCATTGCATACTGTTATTCACATTGAACTGCCATAAACCTCTGCTGTCTCTGGGAATTTGAGTTTCTGATTTCAACATCTCATTTATCATTGATTATCATTTTCGTCATTTACAGAACCGCATAGTGCCTTTCTTGTTTCGAAATATTCAAACAGATGTGACAACATGAAGCATTGAGCCTCGATATACTAATCTCAACTCAAATTAAAGAGAGAAACTTACCTGGAAAAATAATTTTCCTCCACTTTGCTTTTTGGTCGAAGAGTTGTTAACATTTTCCAATCGATTGATACAGCCGCAAGATCATCAAGCTTCAAACTCTTCATTTCCAGTGGTAGAGGATCCATGAAAGTATACTTGTCTTTGGCAGCCTTCATCTGTTTCTTGCCGGATTTGAACTTGAAGCCCTTATCCTTGATTTTGATACTCTCTGGCAACACCCTTTCCGCCTTCATTTTGAAATCTGGAACTTTCTCCAGGAGCCTTCTGAATTCTTCTTTCGAATTCGCAACAGTTTTTGATAAATCTAAAATTGGAGCTGTTTCTTTCTTCTTATTCAAGAAGTCATCTAGTTTTGCCATTATAAAATCTACGGGATATAAATAATATATTTGAGCAATTATTGGGTGAGGAAAGTGTTTGAGATCTACGCTTTCGATATATTACATGGCAATTATTTGAAAATTATTGTCTGTACGCTGATGATATGGAAGGAGAACTGGGAGTGGTTTCCCACTGGTCCCTTTTCATCAACAACCCGTCATGTAGGGAAGCTAACTTCTCAAGAATGTCATTATTTACTTCTACATCAGGTAAATGTTCAGATCGCTCGCATTTATACTGAGTCTGCTCCCTGGGAGAGTTGTGCTCTATTTTCAAAATATCAACTTTAACATTATCAACTGAACACCTATGACCACACCTACACATACAACAACACTCTTTTCTTTTGTAGTAAATCTGGTCCTTATCTGACTCTAGTGGAATCATCTCTGTTTGGTACATTCTGACGGTTCTTGGTAACATTTCATTCTTCCTCCAGTGTTGCCTGGAATGTCTTTTCTCAGGGTATCCTTTCCTCCTGTACGAACGGGGTGAAGCTGTTTGGCTATCATCACTGGAATTCTTGTCGTCATAACCCTTGCTGTCCCTCAGTTTTTGCCTCATTTTCTTTCTTTGATAGAGTGGGTCCTTCTCACTTTGTTTTAGATACCTTGTCGGCGGTCTATTTGCACCCCATTTTGGCCTGTCTTCCAAACCTTCGCTCCTACTCCGTCTCTCTCTTCTGATCTTATTATCGTATGTCAGATCTATACTATTCAACTTATCTCTGATGTATTTCTCTCTATTTTCTGGCGATGTTTCTGTTCGGGCAAACACTGATTCTTCCGTTTGAGTACTACTGTCGCAGGATTTTCTGTTTTTGTTTCTATACTGTGTTGGAGTTAGAATTCTATTTTCAGTTCGAGATGTACTACAACTTCTGTCGGTGAGAGGAATTCCAACGAGTGGGATATTATGGGGTGTTGCAGGTACCAATAAAGCATATTGTATGGTTTGTAAAGCCTCCAGAGATGTTGGTATCATTGCTGCCAAGTTGCTCTCAAGTCTTGCAGATTGTAGTGGATGCAAATTCGTATTTTGATCAAGGATACCCTGATTGTTCTCTGATAGTGGGACACAATCATCTGGAACATTTTCTAACTGGTTCGACCGCGGTGAATTGATACCTTTTCCTCTTATCTCTAATTTATTGTTTATGTCTGTGTTGAGATGTTCAGATTTTGGTAGATTGGCTCTTGTGTTATTCAGTTGTTCATAGTTTGGACTTTTCCTCTCTTCCGAATTCATATTATCTCTTGGTGGCACTTCAGGTAATGATTTCGGAGAGTTTTCTGTACGATTCGTAGAACAATCCTTTTCCTCTATATTCTTGGCATCATTGATGATGTTGATCTCCTTAAATTTTTTTGTTTTCTGAGCCTGCGCCTCTTTCTGAGCCAAAACAATGGCTTCTTCTATTACTTCTTTTCTTCTCCTTTCCCTCTCCTGCTTTGCTCTTTCTATTTGCAGTTCCTCTTCCCTCCGTTTCCTTTCGATCTCTCGTTCTCTTCCTATCCGTTTTTCTTCTTCTCGTTCTTCTCGCATACGCCTTTCTCTTTCTTCTTGTCTTTGTTTTTCGCGTTCTGCTAACTGCTGACGAATCGCTTCTTGGTGAGCCATGGCTACCTGCCTTCTTCTTTCTCTTTCAGCCATTTCGATGGAGTCTATTGGTATATTCTGACCTCTTATGTATGTGCATCTGCAGACATGACACATAATAATAATAATAATAATAATAATAATAATAAGGTTAATTTGGAAAGAAATTGAACATTACATCTTATAAGCNGAACATCTGCAGCATAATGTGGAGGCGCACCATCCTGTTGAAACCATAAACTTCCATCAAAACTTCCAGGATCAATTCTACTGGGAAATAAATTGATTAAAGTAGGTACAGGATATCCCCTTTAAACCTGAAGGTATGTTGACTCGTTTAAAGTACCGTCGAAAAAGTGTGGTCCGATGATCTTGTTTTTTACAATGCCAGCCCATACATTCACCTTTTGCGGGGATTGTGTATGATGCTCACGCATCCAGTGGGGGTTTTCTTTGGCCCAGTACCGGTATTTGATTAGATAAGAATGTTCACCGATAGAGGATCAACCGAAGAGAATTTTAAATGAATGATGAAATGTTAAAAATATTATACACCAACAGAGTTTGTCAATACTCTACAGCTCATTACTGCCGCAGGGTTAAGAACAAATTTAGTCAAATCTGATCTTTGGAGTAGATAGTTTGTCGATAAACTTGTGATCGAACACAAGCCCTGTTTCGACCAGCCATGGTCTCATCAGTTGAACCATTGAACTGTCTTAAAAAGAACAAGCCTGAAAGTGGAAGCTATGATATCTTTCTCTACGGGTTTGGAAGAAGACTGAATCCCTCAATATCAAAGAGAAACGAGGCTCCTTATGGCGGTCTGTTGCTAAGCTTCTAAATCGACCGTCAAACGAGATTTGTCATGTTTTCCACAGTAAGGCAAGTCGATAAACTAGTGATCTAATATTAAACAGATGTTTTTCCACCCGCTAAAGTCTCATCACTGGTGCTAAGCTGAACCACTACACTGTTTTTAAAAGGCAAGTCTGAAACTGAAGGCGATAACATCTTCTTCTATGAATATCCCATAGATGGCGCCTCCTTAGTGATATATGTTATCGCCTTTACCTAAATAGTTCAGAGGTCGAGTCAAGGTTAGGTTAGGTTAGGTCAAAAATGACTGTGGAAGGACTGCTCGACATCGTGGTCCAACAACTGTTTGGTATCAAGCTTTGAAGGGTGATCAAACGCCTTGAAGTGAGCCAATCGTGGAAGATTCTGCCAGAAGTCTATAAATCTTATTGCCATCCAGGTGATCAGTATTTGGTTGGCTAAGCCAATACCAAACGATAAACAAAAAACGAAACAAAACAAGAGCAAAACAAAAACAAACAAAACGAAACAAAATGAAACAAAAACAAAACAAAAACAAAAGAAACAAAACAAAAACAAAATAAAATAAAAACAGAACAAAAACTTCTCGTTCTTCTCGCATACGCCTTTCTCTTTCTTCTTGTCTTTGCTTTTCGCGTTCTGCTAACTGCTGACGAATCGCTTCTTGGTGAGCCATGGCTACCTGCCTTCTTCTTTCTCTTTCAGCCATTTCGATGGAGTCTATTGGTATATTCTGACCTCTTATG